TTTTTTAAAAAATTTTTGTAATGTTTTATTTATTTTTGACAGGGAGACAGCGTGAGCAGGGGAGGGTCAGACAGAGAGGGAGACAAAGAATCTGAAACAGGCTCCAGGCTCTGAGCTGTCAGCACAGAGCCCGACGCGGGGCTTGAACCCACAAACCGTGAGATCATGACGTGAGCTGAAGTCGGACGCTTAACTGACTGAGCCACCCAGGCGCCCCTCACATAGAGATTTTTACTTCTAAATAATAACTTCTGTTTTACAAACTTACTTTTTAAATGATCCATGCTCTTTTTTTCCCAACATTTCCAGACTTCCAGTCAGTCATACAAGATTAAATAAATACTTAGAGAAGCCATCAGAAAGCCTGGAGCCACTTGGTGCTGCCATAAAACACATATTCCCTCTTGTTGGGAGAGGACTGGGTCTATAGTTTATAACCATTCTAAGCTAGATTCATCAAGTTCCAAGTGCCCTTTTTAAAGAAGTTCCATATGTGCATTTATATGTAAAATGTTAACCTAAGATTGGAGTGAAATCAAAATGGCAGTTTCCTGTTCTCAAGGAAGGGTACATCATCATTCTGTAGAACTTCCTTTGAAATATGACAAGATTACTGTATTTGAAGAGGAGGAGGATTAGGAAGGGTCAGTCATCTTCCTAGAAATAGGATATTGGAAGTTGACATGTGATGTATAATTTTGTTAAATATCTTAAATTATAGGCAACTGTATCCCTGTATTCTGTTTAATACCATGAGCGTTCCATGGCAACCTTCCTAATGTTTAACAGCATCTGGGTCTCCACAAGTATCATGGGCCATCACTTTGATTCACTTCCTTTCCTTTTTTATATCTACTTCCTTATCTTGTATAAAGCAGAGTTGGATACCTCTCAAGTTCTCTGGAGCTTTTTCTAGTTTCCCAATCTGATGAAATCCGTAAAATAATGAAATTGTTAAAAGGGACCTGAAATTGGAAAGGATGAGTAAAACCTAGCCTTGCCACAGTCTCTAGAATGGTTGTTACATTTTGTTTCGGAAGGCTTATGTCAACCTAAATATCTACTGAGACATTATTACTGAAGAGTTATTTTGGATTGAAAATGAACATATAAGCCACTTTTAAGGCTGACTGTGTGCCTAATTTTAAATGTCAAATAATAGCTCCTAAATGTCATACAGTGATGTATATAAATCATTATTTTGATTCAAGGGCTAGATCAGACCTATGCAGAGTTGACCCTTGAGCCAGTCTCAATATGAACAATATAGAAAGATTTTTTAGTCTTATTTTTCTCACCTTTCAATTTCTATATTTAGCCAAACGGTATTTAAGAATCTAATAGGAGACAAACTTTAAAAATACTAGGAAGAAAAGTAATGATAATTCTGGATGTATACTCTTACTTGGATGTTAACTACTATTTGATTTCTAGGAGAGTTGAGGTTAAGGAAATAAGGAAAATTACAAGGAAAAAAGTAGGTCCAACCCTTCATGAAAGAACGAAACTTTAGGGACAGTTTCCAAGGAAGTCCATATTTTCTTCATGTATTGTGTAATACACAAAGAGGTGGCCGGCATTAGAATGGATTTTATGTCATTGCTTGCCTTCTTGCTGGGTTACCGCTTACTTGTCATTTGAGGAGAATGCAGGACATAAAAGTAAGCCCGAGTGAATGTCATTTGATTCACAGTAGATTGGACACATGCTGGTCTCGCCTCTCTTGAGGCTCTCTTCCACCTGAGCTTTAACTGTTGATGTGCCTAAGGAATTGTATTAGACCTGTCTACACTCCCTCTCCAACTTATTCCTTTGAATTCTGTACCTTGTCAACTCTCGAATTTTTCTCTCTAGTGATTCTCAACTCTAGTTTCATATATCTAACTGTAGACTTGGTATCTCTGTCTAGATGTCTCTTAGTTACCCCAAACTCATTATGTGCAAAATGTAGCTAGTTCTTGATTTTCCATTTCTGGAAATACCATTCTATTTTCAGTCTTCCCTATTACAATTACAATCTCCCTCGTTGCACAAACCTAAAACCTGGGAACTACCCTTATTTATTTTTCTGTAGCTCCTTTATTCCAGTTCATGAGCCCAACCTCTCTGGTCTTATTCAGTTTCCTCACTGTACAATTAAAATAATACCTTTTTATAGTTACATGTTAGGAGATTAAGTGAATTAAGTAAATGTAAAGTCTTAAAACAGTACCTGACATTTAATTAGCACCATGTAATTGGGCTACTGCTATTGTTGTTGTTACTTTTTCACCCCCACAAAATCAACACCCTGGTCTAAACCTCCATATTCTCTCCTGTGGATCACTGCAATAGCTTTCCTATTTCTATGTTTCCACTCTTGTTTGGCTACAATCTTTTGTCCACACAGCTAGGGGATTCTTTTAAAAACAGATCATGTCACCTTTCCCTGATTTACACCCTTTAACGCCTTCCCTTTGCCCTTAGAATAAAATCCACACACAGTACTGCACAACACAGCTCCTGTTTATCTCACTAAGCTCACTCATTATACTACAGTCTCCTATCTGTTCCTCATTAGCCAAGCCTCCTTTCCTCAAGTTTTCATATCTGTTGTTCCTTCAGCCTGAAATGCTTTTCCTTCAGTTTACTTAGAATGTCTAGTTCATTTGCATTTTTCAGGTTTTAGCTCAACTGTCATTTCAGGATCATCTTCCCAGCCTGTTCTTTGCAAAATGGTCTCCCCTTTTCTCTCATATTACACAGTTCATTTTCATCATGGCTGTTATGGTAGTGTGTAATTATCTCATTTGTGTGCTTACTGGTATTTGTTTGTTGGTCTCACCAACTAGAATATAGTATCTAGAAGAAAGAGACCTTATCTCTTTAACTTCCTTTAAGTGCCTGTCACATAGTACACGGTCAGAAAATATTTATCAAATGAATGATAATCTCTAACAAGGAAAGAAAACTTTGCAAAAGGAGAATGTGAAGATCCACTGTTGAAATTTTTCTTTTCATTTTGTACTTCTGTGCTAAAGATTATCATCAATTGCCCCTTCTTGAGAATTTTGCCTGCTTACTTTTATTTATTTATTTATTATTTTAAAAATTTTATTCTTTTTTTGGTCTTGTCTTTGCTTTAATACATTTCTCCCTTTTTTATAGTTTATTTTCAAGTTAGTTTCCATATAACACAAGTGTTCCAATCCCCACAAGTGTTCTCCTCCATGCCCATCACCCCCCTTCCCGTCTCCTGCCATCTGCCCTCAGTTTGTTCTCGGCATTCGAGTCTCTCATGGTTTGCCTCCCTCCCTCTCCCCCACTATTCTTCCCCTTCTCCTCCTCCATGGTCCTTCGTTAAGTTCCTCCTAATCCTCCTATAGGTGCAAACATATGGTATCTGTCCTTCTCTGCCTGATTTATTTCACTCAGCATAACACCCTCAAGTTCCATCCATGTTGCTACAAATGCCCTACTTACTTTTTAGACATCTATTCCTCCCTAAGTAGATAACAGATAAATTTGTCCATCAATGATACAAAGAAAAAGTAGGCTGTAATTAGATGTTACCATGAGCTTTTAATTTCTTTCCTATAGTAAAGGGGTTGAAATAGCTCTGCTACAAGATAATGGTCCAGGTGCATACAAGGTCTCATGCACAAATGCTGTAGACAGCCTCCGTTCTGTCCACCCACATCAGGAAGTGATCTTGCCTTACGCCACTTGTGGAGCTGGACATTGTCCGGATGGTTGAAAGTTCCCATTCTCCAGCAGAGGGCAGAAACCATGAAGGAATATCCAAAAATGTATTATTAAGAAATAAAAAGTAAAACCGTTTAAGTGGTCTCAGTTTGCATTTTGTGATTTTTATTTCACTACATGCAAAGATTCAAAATATGCTCGTGCCTAGGGAAGAACGCTCTTTGTCAACCCTAAGGTAATATGATACATGGTTCTTTATACTTTTTGAAAGTTATAGACCACTACAATCTCCATCCTGAGAGGAAAAGCAGGAATGTTTCCAGAAAAATTGGCGATAACAACACTAATGAAAAGAGGGTGAGGATAAGAAGAAAGATTTGGGGTTAGGAGTAAAGAGAGAATAAGCAAAGCAATTCTTGGCAAAACAGGATATAAAGGGTTTTTGTTTTTGTTTTTTTCAGAAACTGTCATAGAATAAAACTCAAATACCACCCCCCCCCCCAACCATGGGAGCCCCTCAGTAAAATCCTCTACAGAGGCTGACACTCCTGACACTGATGTATCTTGATGTTTCCTTCTCACATGGAACTTAACAGACTATGACTGTTCTTAAAGTATACATGAAGCCTCTTTGAAAGGGCTGCTTTCAAAGAAGTAGCCTAAACATCTGTGCTGAGAAAAGATACATTCAGAGTACCTGGAAATTCTCTACTAAAACTTATCTGTTTAGAAGTATATATACATAGGGGCGCCTGGGTGGCTTAGTCGGTTAAGCGTCTGACTTTTGCTTAGGTCATGATCTCGTGGTTCGTGGGTTCGAGCCCCTCGTCGGACTCTGTGCTGACTGCCAGCTCAGAGCCTGGAGCCTGTTTCAGTCTGTGACTCCCTCTCTCTCTGACCCTCCCCTGCTCACGCTGTCTCTCTCTCTCTCCTACAAATAAATAAAACATTAAAAATAAAAAAAAAGTATATATATATGTGTGTGTGTATACTTATATATATATACACTTATATATTATATATTATATACTTCTATAAATTACATAAATTAATTGAAGAGAAAGCCATCTCTGAATTTCCAAACAAGGCAGAGGAAAGTAATGACAGTTTTTGAGTTAAGAAAATGAAATGTGTCTGTTCATACCTAACCCCTTATGCTACAATAGTTATCTGGTTGATTTCTAAGACTGGCTGTCCCCTCCAGGCAAAATCAACCAAGAGATCCAAGACTTTTCAGACTATTGAAGAATCCTACCTTCAGGAGAAGGTTGAAAATAACATGATAACTGGATGTTGTTTAGCATTGAATTGATGGATAATAAAAGGACAATGACACTTAAGTCTCTGGGTCTTGGGACTTTGAAATATACATCTTACACATTGAAATAAATATGAGTCCAGCCTCAAAGTGGGGAGTCTTCCCTATTTCGCAAATTTTAAGAGTCTCTAACTTGAAATCCTGACTAGGACCCACTGTTTATGAATGCTTTATTTTCTATAGCTACCAAAAAAAAAAAAAATCCATCAGTCTTAGAGAAATCAAACGTCTCTTACAATAAGATTATCTCTCTGGCCAAACTCAGTGAAGACTACTTGCTTTTTATTTGGTTTTGTTCAACTAGCATGGATCCTGATGGCTCTGAACAAGATTCTGAAGTGAAGGAATATTCTCCTGTCTATGTTGGCAGAGAAGATGACATTAAAAAATCTGAAAGAATGACAGCTGTAGTCCATGATAGAGAAGTGGTCATTTTCTACCACAAAGGAGAATATCATGCTATGGATATTCGCTGTTACCGTAAGAGTTTATTTTTCATTTGCAAATCTTATGTTTACTAACCACAAAACTATCAAAATTTCTGGCTTTTGTTTTTTAGTGACTAGATGTAATATTTCATTCCTTTTCAGACTCAGGAGGACCTTTACATTTGGGAGAAATAGAGGTATGTAAAATTAAGTTTATTCCCTACTAATTCACATTTTTATTTATATTATCTCATTATGCAAAAATAATTTGTATTTGAGTTTGAACTGTCTTTTAATGCTTTAAGTATAATTGCTAATATTCTAGGAATTTACAATCTTACAACGTAAAGAAAACTATTTCACAGACAAATATGAGAAGTATGCATGTCTTTTGACCTAATAATTATACTCTGAGATATCTATCCTACAGATATAATTGCACAAATGTTTAAGTATACATAAAGGAGAGGTTTACTGTGGCATTATTTGTCATAATGAAAAATTGAAGGCAACCTAAATGTTTTACCAATAGGAAACAGTTTCAGTATGCTGTGAATAGCCATGCTATGGAAAACTGTGCAACCACTAAATTAATGAGGCAGATCTTTGTGTGTTGCTATGGAGCGATGTGACCAATTTCTTTTTGAGCAGAAAAAGCAAGCCATAGAATGATAGTTTTAATGAGATCCCATTTTTTAAATAAAAAATAACATTCAGTTTTTACTCTGACTTACAAAGTTTGATTTTTTTCAGTGATTATAGATTACCCATATAATGTAGTAACAATATAAATGTGTGTATTTTCAAAATTTAAAAAAGGCTTATCTGAGGAGGGAATGAGGGAACTGGCTTACTTCCAAACTAGCTAGCTGCCTCATTTGTTTTCTACTTCATAAAATTGATCTCTCTTCCTCCCTCCCTCCTCTCCTCTCCTCCCCCACTGGTACAAAATAAATGCTTAAACTTAGTATTCCGCTCTCTCTGCACTTCATATCTACCTATTTCCACACCTGCCCTCATGTTAAGGGACACACATGTGTTTACATCATGAACATGAATGTGAACGTTTGTTGACCGCTCTGTGAGGGTACAATATCAGCATTCCTGCACTTCCGGTGTAGAGAACAAAAAGGTAAGCACCTGGAGATGATCATGTGAAAGAATTTCCCTCAGTTTTTGACCATAATGAGAGCTGTAAGACTTTGCTACTCAAAGTGTGGTCCATAGACCAGCAACACTGGCATCCCCTGGGAGTTTGTTGGAACCACAAACTCCTGCACCCTACCCTAGGGCTACTGAATTTAAACAAGATCCTGGTGATTACCATGCTCTTTAAAATCTGAGAACCACTGATTTAAGACAGTTAAAAAGTTGGGAACGGACTACACTGGGTCACAAATCAGTTAAATTTGGGTCTCTTCAGTTAACATATACATTCATGCCTTTAGTAACCCTCTTAAATGTATATTTGATGCTTACCGTGCTCCCAGTGGCTAGAGGAAATTCCTTTAGAAGCACTTGATGCCCTTGTCCCATTTCTGTCAAGGAAGTGATGTTCACATCTAATAGTTAACAGCATAGCTTCAGTCACATGGTGTAGTTGCCTGAGGTCATTTTTCTGATAGAGTTCTAACACACTGGATTTCTAATCCAACGCAAAAGGGACTTGATGACTCCTACGATTAGGTTCTGCCTTATGCTGAATAATTTGTAAATGGAAGGAAAAAAGAGGAACTGGCCTGTTCTTTAACCTGGTTATTCTGCAACAGAATCTGTTCTGAGTCTGAGGCTTATTGTGAATGTTGGAAATGTCAGACTATTAAATCATTTATTTCCTTTCCCAGGAGTTTGATGGACGACCATGCATAGTTTGCCCCTGGCATAAATACAAAATTACTTTGTCAACAGGAGAAGGACTGTATCAGTCTATAAACCCTAGAGATCCATCAGCAAAACCTGAGTGGTGCTCCAAAGGAGTAAAGCAAAGGATTCATACAGTGACAGTGGACAATGGGAATATTTATGTGACTCTTTCTAAAGAACCTTTTAAGTGTGACTCTGATTTTTATGCCACTGGAGACTTCAAAGTAATTCCGAGTTCTTTCTGATAAAGTTATATGGCAATGAAAAATGTTGTGTTTGGAAAATATTTTTAGAATAACTTTGTTTCAATAACAAAGAGGACTAATTTTCCCAACACAGGCACATTTATTACTTTAAAAAAATCGCATAAATCTGAGCAGTTCAAAATGATGAAAGGATTATTGTCAAGATCTATAGAATACATTTCATCCAATCCTCTGGATTGATTGGAACCTGAAGGTTATAGGTTTGGAATGTGCATTTTAAGAGTGAGAATGATTTGCAGTAACCACAATGAAGAAAAGGTAAAAATAAGGTCTAATAAGAAATAGGGGGGGGGGGATCCTTATTTTGATGTAGTAGACTTTATCATGGAAAAATTTTAATATATACAAACCGAACAAAATAGTATACCAAGCTCTCATCACCCAGCTTCAATAATTACCAGTGCTCTTCCATTCTTATTTCACTGATACCTCCACACACTCTCCATCTCCCCTATCTGATGATTATTCTTACTTTTTTTAAAAGTAAAATTTAAATACATTGAAATAATTAAGTCTCAATGATTCAATATTTCCAAATATCTAGCAGACTTTTTATACTTTAAAAGTGCCCTCCTTAATCCCCATGTACTGCAAATTGAAACCAAATAAATCTTGGCTCAGTTTCTCTCTGGTCAAGGCAGACACTGTCAAAGGAAGGAAGATACACACAGCTGCTGCCCAGACGTGAGGGATGTGAAGTCTCTTATTCAGTGAGCCAAAGTACTGTGAATGCCTAGATGCCATTTTCAAATAAAGGTGTTCTTTCTTTTTCAAGACTTTTGTGATATATGTAGAACTAAGTGTTTCATGTAAATGTTACAGAGAAGAAAGACAGGACGTTGTTCCTTAAGAGTCCTTGCTGCTGAGTTCACAGGCAGAGTTGATGTTAAGTTGGTCCATCCTGCCTTTACATGCCAGTTATTTATGACCAACACTATTCTGGTTGCCTGGTGCCCACACTGTATTAGAACACTCTGGGTGCTTATCATCTAAAACTCAGCAACATCTTATATTCTACTATAGGAATAAGAAGGATCAGAACCAGGATGAACAGATTATGAATTCAGAGAATTCTGTGAGAAAAGCTGTTTGTCAAAATTGGAACTTTGTCTCAAAAGCACAGTAATCTTCTTAGTGGCATAGGACTGAATTGAGGCTCCAAATGTAATACTTAACATTCTAAAGGGACCACCTGGACTCTTTCCCTTGGTTGTTATAAAAATTGTAAGTGAATAAAATACCTATCATGAAGGGTCTGCTTACAGAGCCCTTTGCTACATATTATTAGATTTCCTTTCTGATGGAATATGGGTAACATGTGGTAATACAACACTTGTTACTCATTTCTCAGACTACTAAAAAGCCAAGGCTGGACTTTTTATAAATATTGTTTATGGCAGTAGCTATTTACCAGGTACAGGAAATGTACCATCAATGGATGGGTATATTCTAGTCTACTAGGTGCTAATCCTCCAATGACCAGTCAGGTCTTAATGTGTCCAGAAGTTAATACACAGGGAAGAATCCAAAGTTCCTTCTGCAGGCAGAACAGTGGCCCTCATTTGGAGGGCCAGTTATAGAAGCAATCTCTCTCAGAACCCAGTGGCCACTATGAGTAACATGAACTTGATTTTTGGTTCTAAATTTGTTCCTCTATATCTGGAAATTAAAAAAAAAAAAATGTCATATCCTATCGTCACATAAATTCTTTATTAGATTTGAAAATAATATTCTGTATTATAAACTTATACACGTGACTTACAACTCCTACAGATGAGGTATAAAAGGATTGATGATAGGCAGATTCAAACTATGCAGCCTGTACATAGAAAAATAAATCCTTTATTATCTCTAAAAAAGTAATGTAGCATTTTGATACAGAGTGTGTTTTCCCTCCAGATAAATATGGTTGATCCTTGAACAATGCATCCTGCACAGTCAAAATTCCATATATAACTTTGGACTCTCCAAAAACTTTACTAACAGTCTACTGTTAACCAGAAGCCTGACTGATAACATAGTCAATTAACACATTTTTTTGAATATTCTATGTATCATATACTGTATTCTGCATGGTAGAGAAAATATTAAGAAAATCATAAGGAAGAGAATATACATTTATAGTACTGTATCATAAAAGACAGGCATATAAGTGGGTTTGCATAGTTAAAATCCATGTTCAAGGGCTAACTGTAATTGGAAAGATACTTGAAACAAATCTTTAATAAAAACATAAATGTATTTATTATAAATACACTTATGTTATAAACCATAGCACAAAGTCTAACCCTCCAAAGGATACACTTTCTTGTTCATTAAAAAAATATCATATGGGGCACCTGGGTTGCTCAGTCGGTTAAGCGTCTGACCTGATTTCGGCTGAAGTCATGATCTCACATCTCAGGAGTTTGAGCGTCATGTCAGGCTCTGCACTGACAGCGTGCAGCCTGTTGGGATTCTCTCCCTCTCTCTTCCCCTTACCCACTCACGCGTGCACACGGTGCTCTCTCTCTCTCTCTAAAAATATATAAATAAACTTAAAAATCATAGTCATACATATATTCTCCATCAAGATTCATTTTATTTTCTCTATCACATAAGTACTTGAGAATGACATTTAAAAAAAAAAAAAAAAAAAAAAGAGAATGACATTTTAGTAGTTCCCCACCCCTTCTCTAAAGCAGAGCATTCAGTATATGAAAACTAGTTTCTTAGTTTTGTCTGTTGAAACGTGATAGATAACTCTTAAGCTCCACTTAGTGATATTTATACTTGATTTGTTCATTCATTCATTTCAGCGCATTGGTCAAACACAGAATGTAAAACCTGGATCTTATTACTCAACTTATTGGCAGGAAGTTTGGGGCGATCTGAAATACTGTCCGGTTTCTCCGGTAATGACCTGTAAGGTTTTGCTTTGATTTCACTTTCATGAAATGGAAGCTCAGAAAGCACAGGCTCAGAAAAGGCTTTTCTAAGATTCTCACTCTCCTTTCTGTTTTGCCTTACGGATTCTTCTTCTTGGAAGATTTTCTTTACCTTCTCCAGCACAGCATTAACACAGACTGTCTAATGATAAAAAAATTTTTTTGAGAAGTAAAGTTTCTTCTTAAGCTACTGAACTTTGCAGTAACAAGTCCAATAAAATATTTAACATAAAGCCATTAATCTACTTAATTCTAATAAAGGAGCACTTCTTTTCCTGGCACACGATAAACATCAGGAGATTGCTTTCTTGTTCTAAATATATTACATCATAATCTAGAAAGAAAATTAAATCCTGGTATGCTTCAATAAAGACATGTTCTCCCTCTTCCCCCCGCCCCCATTCATTAGATGTCATATCTTTACTCTCTGATTTAATTAAATTCCTTTATTCTCCTGGACTTAATGAAAAATTTTCTGGGAGATGAAATTTGTCACCAAACATGTTAATATCTCAAATTAGGTTTTTGTTTTTACTTCTGCCCCGTGCCAGACTTCATTTATACCTATGTTTACAACTGGAAGGGCTTATACCTATGTGTACATAGGTACACATGTGTGGAAGGGCATTAACATTTTAGTAAGAATTTAGTAACCTAGTAGATCAATGATTTCTAAGCAAACACATGATCCATTTTACCTCAAAAAAAGTGACATTCAGTACTTTAAGAGTGTCAAAATGAAACACAATGAGAAATAAAACTTTGAAAATTGAGAACCATCAAGAACTATATCCAGTAAACTTATTCTGTAAGTTTACTAATGAAGATGATGATGCATGTGTTTAAGGCAAGTAACAAGAATAATGAAATCCACAAATATGAGAAGACCTAAACCAACTCATATTACCAAAGTGATACCTAAAGCTGACATAACAGACAATAAACATTTAGAAGATTTTCCTAAAGAGGCTAATGGTAAAAGTTAGAGGGCCTTAGCTTGACAAGTTCTTCCTGACCTCCTCCCTCCTCTTTTCTTGGCCTTCATCCCACTATACAATAAGGGAACAGGAGATGCTTTCCATCACTTTCCTGTCGTTAGTATGGAGTTATGTGACACTGTTCTAGCCAACAAAATATGTCTGCTGGGGGAAGATCAGAAGGGAATTTTGAAAGTTTTCCTCCTATATGAAAAGGAAGACTCTTTGTCTTCTCTTCCTACTTTGGACAGGACAATGATATAGATAGGATGCCTGAGCATGAGGCAACAAACCTAAGGACCAAAAACAACAAACAAGATAGCAGGAGAGAAAGATGGAAAGGCCCTAGGTTCATGACGACATTGTAGATCCACTGTACAAACCTGGGAACCACATAACTCTAGACTTTTAATTAACTGAGATATTTAAATGTGTTCATCAACGAAGTTACTGCCAGATATTTTTTGTTACTTGCATCCAAGTATATCCCAGCCTAGAGCTATAAAATTTTGTCATCTGTCACTTTCAGCTGGAAACAGCTTCATTCATTTTTCTCCATATATGATCACTTTCTATGTATGCCATGCTATGAAAGAAGATTAGGAAGCCCTGTCCTATTCGATATATTTCTTCTTCCTTCACCTACAAAATTTTATCTGTGCCCATTCTAATCATTTCTACCCCAGTCTCGGAAAATAAAGAGTCTTGATAAAGGTGAGTATCTCTGTTTACTTTTAACCTATAGCCTACCTCTTCTCTATTAATAATCCCCTGCCTTTTCAGCCTCTCGTTCTTGACTGCGTCTTCCCCTGCAACTTATAATATGTTCAAGTATCTTCCATCTTATAATTAAATATAAAAAATCCCTGGCACCCTGTTTCTCTCTTGATCGCTATATATGCTGCCTTTTCTTACTCAAACCAGTCTATATTCATGGCTTCCATTTTATTATCTCCTCTTACTCTGAAATCTGCTTATTTCTTCCTTATCCTATCGCATCACTGAAATAATTCTCAAGATGGTTGGCTCCAGCATCTTCACTACTAGATCTAATGAACACTTTTCACTTTATTTTACTTGACTTTTTCTGTTTATATTTCACACTTAACTGCTCACAACTTCCTGAGTTCCTATTTCTTTGGCACTTTTTCTCCTGATTCTCTTCCTACTTTTCTGATTATTGCTTCTTGTGTCTTCTTCACAGATATCCTCTTAGCTCACCGTAAATGTTGCTATTTTTCACAATTCTTTTGACTTTCCACTTCCAGACTTTTCACTTTTTCCAATTTCCAACATGTATGTTATTTGCTTTCAAAATCGTAACTCCAGCCCTGACCTCTCCTAGACCTTGGGTTGCACACATGACCAATCATCAGGTCTCCCAAAATATTGTTTACCTACTTAAAAAGTTTATAGCATAATAAGTCATGTAGGATGATTGCAAAAGCCTTTGAGAAGCTAGAGTTTAATTTTGGTTTTAGTCTACTTTGTTTTAGTTTCACCGTATCTATTTTGTTCCACCCATTTTTTTTGCAGCATATTTGCACCCTAGCTCAGTTGGATTTCATTTTTGCGTAAGATTCACATTTAAGATATTGAGCATTTCTCAAAAATTTTAAACACTTGTAAGTATATTTATAAGTTCAGTTATTTAAAATAACTATTAATATGTTTGAAACTTATTTTACTTTTTTTTTTTTTTATGATGTCTTGGCTATTCTTGGCCTTTTTCATTCCTCTGTAAATTTTAGAATAAACTATGGTCAACTTACACACCTGCTCATATTTAAATCAGGACCACAATGAATCTATAGATTATGGGTAAAACTGAATCCTTAGTATTATGTGTTTCAATATGATAAAAAATATTAACAAAAATATATAAGACCTTGGCCAAAAAAACCCCCATAAGAATTATTAAGAGAAATTAAAGAAGATCTAAGCAAATAGAAGAATATTCCATGTATAAGCATTGAAGAGAGGACTTATTCTATCAATTATCAAGACTTATAAAGCCTTTGTAAGTAATACAATATTGAATCACTGTAAGAATAGAAAAATAGATCAATGGAATAGAACAGAGAATCTATAAGCAGACCTGCATATATAAGGACACTTGATGTATGACAAAAGAAGTGTTCTGGAGCAATAGGAAAAGTTTTCTCTCCCCTCCCCCTCCCCCATAAATTGAGTTGGATCAACTGGATAGCCATGGAGGAAAAATCTGTTCCTTACCTCATACCAATTCCAGATGGATTATAAATCTAAAAGTGAAAGGTAAAATAACAAAGCTCCTAGCATACATCAGAGGGAATAGTTTCATGACCTTGTGTATAGGTCAAGATTCCCTACTTAAGACATAAAAAGCACTTAACAGAAAGAAAAACTTAATACATTGGACTACATTAAAATTAAAAGCTTCTGTTTTAAAGACACTGCTAAAAGAGTGAAAAGGAAGTCATTGAATAAAAGAAATAACCAAAAGAGGGTTTATTCCTAGAATATATTTTTAAAGTACAAATCAATAATGAAATGATAGAATAGAAAAATATAAGATACTTTAACAGAAATTCACAAACGAGGATATCCAAATGTTCACTTAGTGCATAAAAAAGGAACTCAATCTCATTAATAATCAGATGCAAATTAAAGCCACAATGTCTTAATACTATATACCCACAAGAATGGCTAAAATGGAAAAGATGACAATACAGACTGTTTGGCAGTATCTGCTAGAGATGAACACATGCGTACTCTGGTAGTCTAGTAATTTTACCAAAACGTATGTACAAGAATATTCATAGAAACCATATTCACAGTTGCCAAAACTATGAATAATATAAAATATATAATAATCCAATATATTATAATTACATATTTATAATAATGTTTATAATGTTTGCATATTTATATAATGTATTATATAAATAAGTTTATATAATATATTACAATTATAGTATATATTATGTTGTGTATTATAAATTATATAATATTAAGTTTGTATATATTATATGTTATATTTTTATAATACTGTAAAATGTCAACCACAGAATGGAAGTGGCACATATATTGAATATATATATGTTCTACATATATACATGTTCTATATATATACATATATATATATTTCAACCAATGGAATAATACACAGCAATGAAAATCAATAAACTACTGCTATAGGCAATAAATCTCAAAATGATAATGTTGGGCAATAAAACACAAATGTAAAAGAATATATAGTATATGATTTCATTTATATACAATTTAAACAAAACTGTCTTTAGTGTTAGAAGTCAAAATAGTGGTTACTTTTATAGAAGAGGAAAGTGATTTGTGAGGGAAACAAGAAAGAGGCTTCTAGAATGATGGTTACATTTTGTTTCTTCATGTGTGTGGTAGGCAGATTAATAGATTTTGTGGGAATTTATCAAACTGTAGTTTTGTGTCTGTGTGTTACACTTTTTAAAAAAAATTTAAAGATAAGTAAAATGGCAGTGATTAAAAGAAAATAACCCTTATAATTTATAAAATCCTTTATATCTTTGTCACACTTTGTAATGAACACTTATGAATTACAGCACTTGTAATCCAAAATACATTAACATGTGTATTCCCCAATATCATAGACCTAAATGATGGAATGCTGAGCTTAGCCAACCATGGCATAATGGGTAAAACAAAACAACCATAGCTAAGTGAAAGTAAAACCAAAACATTTTGAACAAATCATAATAAACTTTATAAAAATAATTTTAGTTATGTAAGCAAATTAGTTTTTGCTGGATTGACTTGGGTTCAAAAGGATAGACTTTACCTCAGGAAAGGTAATTGTTTTTAGAAAAGTAAATTTTTAATGTAAAATTGTGTAAAAATAGTACTTTGGCTTATGAATTTATAATATATATCTATATCTTTAGTATATATAAAATAAGTATATTTACATCTAGATTGTAATAGTTTTCTTAACTTACCAAATAAATTAGAGCTGCATATGAAGCATACATGATGCTAGTTAAAGCAGTCTTTGCTGGAAAAGAAATGATTTCAAACAAAGAACCCCTCCTGACCTGCAAAAACAGAAAAGAGTTTTCTTATTATAATAACAGTTTTCAATGTTACAATGTTAAATTTTACCATGTTATTGTAAAATGAAAATTTCAACAGTTCTTTCTAAAGGACATTATCTAGTGAATCTACCTGGGGTTTTTTTTCACAATCTGAAAATATTTTGGTTTATTTTTCTCTCTCTCTATGAAAGATCTATAAAACACCTTGCCTTTCCAAAATCTAAATTACTTTGACTTTTTTACATTTAACAAGTGTGCTCACTAGGGGGTGCCACTGTGCACATTAGAAAAAAAGTCTTTGTTCAAATTCATGTAATCATCCTTTACTAAATTATTCACCTCTTCAATAAGGAGACAGCAATCAAAATACTAAGCATTTCCTGCAGATTAATGACCTGCTTGGAAATGTTAATCATGAGACTGCTGAAGGCCAGCATTAACCTTAGAAGAACATTAAGCTTCAAGAAATGCTCTGTGCTTACATCCAGCATGCATTTTGAAACAGAGAAGGTTTACACCAATAATGAATTTGTCTCTCAGATGTTTCTAGCTTCAGGTAGTAGCTGCCCCTGCCTCAAACATAATAGAATATATTTAGTTTAAGGGAACTGTACTCTCTTCTAGGTCACCTCTGTTGCCTTGAGTAGGGTATGAAATGAGGACATAAGGAAAAACATTCCTTTCCCCTTCAGCAGTGAAGTGGCAGTTAGCCATGCTCCTCTGAGGTAAGCGCCAAGACACTGAGTGGCTTCAGTAACTCCCAAAGGTACAGGCTTTAGCTAATAAAACCATGTAAATACACAGTAAAAATGCATTCAAACTAGAAATAACAGTATGTATGTGTACATTAAAGTTATTTATAACACTGAAAAATTAAAACAGTTGATAGCAGGACAGTTAGGTAAATTAAGCTTTATCTACTCAATGGCATAGTATAGCCTTTTAAAAGGTGCTTCTGAGGAATGTGTAATACCATTCTGTTGAGCAAACATTTGTATGGCACTGTGTTCTAAGTGCTTGTTGTAGTATCTTCAGTTTTTGCTACTGCTGCCACTGCTGAATGAAGGACAAAACTGCCCATCATAATTTACCCTCTTCTCTCTGTTAAGTGATTTATGGAATGCTGAAGCCAAGAACACTCTCTAGCCTACCAGCTGAGAGATGGAGGTGGGGGATGGGGTTGGGAAGAGTTCCTTGTTCGTTTTCCAGGCTATACTAACTCCTAGATACAGAGATAGGTAGGAGGAGTTTTAGCCCACACTCCATAAGTCAGTCTGGAAAACCTCCCAGAGTTCCTGGCTTCTGGAAAGAGTTTCCAGGAAACGAAGCAGCTGCTGTTCTTTCCCTCTTGCTAGAAGAATCATATTGATAGTGTGCCTTTGAATCCTGCTATTAGACTACAGGCAGAAAAACATAAAAGTAGAGAGCAGACATTAGGAAAGAAAGAAGATGTGCTCCAACAAAATGCCTCCTAGCAGAGTAAAAGATTCATGAGTTTGTGAACCTATGAACGTACAGTCGGAGGTCCATATTCAATAATTTGTAGGCTATATACAATAAAAACAAGTGATGTCTGCATGCAGGAGAAATTACGGTTTCTACTACTTTTTTTTCAGATTTTGTCCTTCATCTAACATAATTAAAACTGATTACTTTTCAAAGTTTCAAAATAGATTATATATCTGATATATGTTATGCTTCTGAATGATGAATCTGTATATTGCTTAAGGGTCAGTTTTTCACCATTTTAATGCTTTTGATAAATGCTTCCTATTCCTGTAACAAGTAATTCCTGTAGAAAATATATTTCCTCCAAAATTTATATGGCTACTGGCAGGTAGCTATTTTTCAATGTTATGACCCACTTCCAATATATGTTTTTCATATTATAAACCATGCTGTTTCATCTTTGCTTGTTCTAAGCAGGAATAGCATATGATAAAATAAATAACAGGAGATATTTGCATATCAAAGGTTTTATTTAGATTGTCTCAGTCATTTAAAAAACTTTATCCTAACGTATTATATTAGTTTTATTTGCATATTTAAAAGTATCTTGATATCAGTATTATGCCCATATATTTTTTGAATTTTTAATATTAACATTAATAATATGAGTGTATAAGATATTTGGATATATAAGATATGTGGATATGTTATATGGTCATAATAACATCAGATACATGGGTATTTCAACAGTAAAAATATGTCAATCTTTAATGAAATTTCTGCCACATAATTTTATGTTCCACTTCTGCCACATAACTTTGACTGCCTCATCTCACAAAAGTAGTATCTGTGATTATCTTATTTTCAATAATACTGAGATAAATCACAAAAAAAGCAAACGGTAAATAGTTTAGAAAATAATAAAAATCCACTTATAGATAACCTGAAGGATAAAGGATCACCAGGCCCAACTTAGTTTATGTTGTTCAAAACCACCTTGAAGAAGGATACCCAGGGAGTAATGGGAAACTTTAACTCCGTGATTCGCAAATAAGTATTGCAAGAAGCACCGACTGGTTAATAGGTCCAGAACAAAACCCTTTCCTGTAAGTTTGGAAAAGCTACATGATCATGTCTTTGCTTTAGCAAACTACAGTATTCCTGAGCACAGGGAGGGCTGCTAGCAGTGCACAGTAAAGAAAGTTATTTGACTTTGTTTACCCAGTATTATTGTCCTCTTGAACACTGTTTTTGAGTAAGTTCTTACTCACATAGTCCTATTAAAGCTCAAATGTCCCAACCTCTGGAGAAGTATGTCTTTAAGATTCCAGCTATTCTACTTTCTAGGAATTGTCCTTTTTCCTCAGGTGTTGAATTACACCACCCAAGATTACCGCATGGCAGGCCCATCTAAGACCTGTAGAGGTTCTTGATATTTTTGAGTTTCACACATGTTCTTTATACAAAATATGTGAAGTTTGAGTTTAAACCCCAAACTGGAGTCTACCGTGAAGGGTTGGGGTGAGGAAAAAACTTCTTCGAAAAGCATCTGATCTTCATCCTGAAAAAGGGAATACAAGTTCACTGGGATCCATATATATCACAGGCATTTTGGATGCTGAGGGTTTTCTTCCCTTTTGCCTGTATCTTGCCTACACCACTCCAGAGTGCCTACACAAAGGAGAAACAGTCATCTCTTAATGCTACTATAAGGAAGATTCTATCATAGGAAGAGCGCCTGGTCCTGTGGCCCTGCATTGCCTTGCCAAAGTCAACAACTATGTCTGGGAGCTGACGTGTCTTGGCTGGAGTCAGCATTCAAGCTGATTATCTAGGTCACTGCAGCCTAAAGCAGCTGCAAGCTTTACTCATCCAGACAGCTTACAAAGCTAAGCAGATGCACCATTCTCTAAGTACTGATCCTGGGCATGTTGAAAACCACCAAGATATATCTAACCAGGGTTTTCCATTCCTGAGGCCCTTTTAGGACTCGCAGATATCTTGCTATAATCTCAACCCTGCATAACCTGGAAGGGTTTGAGAAGCAACCTGATTCAGCACCTCATCCATAAAGACAGGTGCAAAGGAAGTCTCTTTCAACAAGATGGCCAGCTGGAGAAGACTGACTCCAACTATGCGCTCATGTTACAACAAGCCATAGGGATCTCTTCAGGTCACTTGTATCAATTGGGTCTTTGGAGAGTTCATATTGGGCTCAATATCTTTGAATATGTTAACATATATAAGACTTACTCTAGGTCTGAGCACACAACAGAAAGCCAAGAGAGCTCCTGTAACAACATTCATGCTCTAATTATCTTGAGGAGACGATTACTGTATGCTTCATCTCAGACCACATCAGGCTAAAATACTATCCTAGTCATAGTGTCCTAATGAAAATGCTCCTCTATTACATGTTCTTGAAGGAGTAATCTGACTGGCATTTCCAGCTACATAATATCCAACAAGAGTGTTGGTAGGACCATTTGCTCTATGTACAAAAGTATCTTTCTATCATTAATTATCCTCAGATCAGTGACAAGACAGAGCATATCAAGGGGATCTTTAACACACACCTTCAGATAGGTCAGCTAGTCTGCTTATCTTCCTACATAAAGTAATATCCTCCATGCATCAACAAAGCATATCTATCCCCTTGCATAGGCAGTTCCAGATTTTACTCCTTTTACTTCTCTGCACACCACGAAGTTCTACCTTGACACAGGCAGTCTGGCAATCCTTGAAGGAATTCATGCTGGAATCCACTCTGAGTAAGCTAAACTCTGTCACTGTGAAAAGACAGCCAAGCAATGTATGTACCAGGGCTAGTGTGATTCACTATTCTTTGGAATTATATGCTCCTTGTTGCTGGGTATACTTTGCACACTCTGATCATTCACTTACTGCACTCCACTGACACTCCTTACTTGCCTATCACCCCCACTACATATAGGGCAAAGGCAAGACATCTAGGAATCCTAATATCTAAACTAGTGATTGTACATGTCAATTTTCAATAAATATATGTTGCATAAAATGAAAAAGTAGAATAACACTTCTCTTACTTCCAGAAAGAAATTTAACTGTCTTATATTAACACTCATAAAAGATACTAAGTAAAGCTGACGGATATCTGGTTCTAGTAGCACGGCAGACTGAGCTAATGTGGAACCCCCATACACACACACAAAATACTAGAAATTCTATATAAAATCAAACTCCAAAATGTAATACAAGAAAGAAAAAAGGAAAGAAGGAAAGATTGATTGATTCCCGGGGTGGCTCAGTTGGTTCAGTGACCAAGTCTTGATGTCTACCCAAGTCATGATCTCCTGGTTCATGGGATGGAGCCCCGCACCAGACTATGTGCTGGCGGTGCAGAGCCTGCTAGGGATTCTCTCTCCCTCCCTCTCTCTCTCTCTGTCCCTCCCCGTCATGCTCTTTCTCCTTCTCTCTCTCCCTCTCTCTCAAAGAAATAAACATATTTTTTTAAAAAAGAAAGATTCCCCTGTGCTAGGAACTAAAAGGTGGAGCAGTAAGAGTGTGTGTATATGCCCAGGAGGTATCAAAAAGAGGTAAGTGAAAGGAAAATATGAGGAAGGTAAACAGACATAAAGAATAAAATGAAAAGGTCCAAGGTATGTTGAATAGATATTCCAGAGGAAGAGATTAGAGAAAATGAGAAAGAGGCAATATTTGAACAAAGAACAGCTAAGAATTTTCCAGAATTGAAGAAATTATCCTGATTCAAGAATCACTCTGATTCCCAAGAAAGTGAAAAGCATTTTGGCAACAGCTAATACAACTGAAGATGTGCATCCCTCATAACCTAGTAATCAATCCCTCTTCTAGATATACCCTTGGAGAATATTTCACACACATGGATAAGGAGTCATTTACAAGAGTGTTTACTGAAATACTGTTTGTAATAAAAACAATTTGAAAACTAAATTGCCCATCTGTCCAATAATAAACTGTGCATTATTTTTTTCTTAAAATGGGATACCACAAAGAAGATAATAAACCACAGCTACACATACCAAAAATGTTGAGTACAGGTACCTAGATGTTTCAGTCATTTAAGTGTTTAACTCTTTGATTTTGGCTCAGGTCATGATCTCACAGTTAATGAGACTGAGCCCTGTGTGGGCAGCACAGAGCCTACTTGGTATATTCTCTCTCTCTCTCTCTCTCCCTCCACCTCTCTATGTCCCTCCCCCACTCGCTCTTGCACACGCACTCTCACTCTCAAAATAAATATTTGAAAAAAATGTTGGGTGAAAAAAAGAAAATTACAGAAGGATGCATATAGTATAATATCATTTATATAAGTTTTAAATATGTGAAGAATAATAGATGTGTACAAATGTAGTGAAAATATGAAAGTATGCATAGAAGTGCTCCTATCAATGTCTGGATAATGGTTACCTCTGGTGGAGAAGAAATGGGAATGAATTGGGACATGGTTAATTATATTTCTTCTTATAGAGGAAATATCTGAAGGCAACATTGCAAAGTATTACTACCAATTTAAATTTGGGTGGGATTTTGATAAACTACCTTTTATATGTTTTGAAATATTTTATTGATAAGAATTTTAAAAATTAAAGCTAGATTCTAAGGCAATTAGGACAAGAGCAAAGGAGAAGAAATTTCATAGGTGTTGATTCCAAATTGATGTCAAAGAGACTGTCACAGTCATCATACAGACCTTAGGTGATTTATTCCCTCAACCTGCTTCTGTGGTCTCAGGTTCCTGGACTAAGCTATCACAACTAAGCTCTAAATGTACCTGTGAAACACACTGTCAGGGCAAAAAGGCAGATGCATTGTGTTTCTCAGTTCTCATGGCTAGTTAAAAGAAAACACAATTTAACTGGAAAGATAGATTATTTTCCTGCCACTGAATTTTCATGAGTATTGGAAGACAATTCTCCATGGATGTCTCTCTTTCCCTGTACAGACTGGACCTTCTGAGCAAAGGACATAGTTGAATAGGAAGCAGATTTCGAAGCTAGAGAAAATATATTCCTCCAGAGAGAGTTAGAGATGTACCTACCAAGAGCTTTCACCTTCACCCATTGGAGACATCTGCTTCTGTCTCCAATCCCCTCTCTCTGTCTTTCTCTCTATTCCCACCGCACCCCCTCCCACCCCCAACGCTGGGCAGATACACCAACGTCCTTTTTTTTCTTTTAAGTTTATTTATTTATTTTGAGAGAGAGAGAGCGAGTGAGCACAAGCAGGGGAGGGGCAGAGAGGGAGAAAGAGAAAGAGAGAGAGAGAGAATCCCAAGCAGGCTTTGCACAGGGCTCGAAGTCACAAACTGTGAGATCATGACCTGAACCGAAACCAAGAGTTGGACGCTTCACCTATTGAGCCACTCAGGTGCCCTGCCAACACTCCTATAAAAGCTAAGTCTTCTAATTTCAGGCTCCTCTCCTATGATGCAACTCATTACATGCATAAGTCACATGTGGCTCTCATCACATTGCCCTGAGGGAACTGAGGGGTTATGGAAATGACACAAGACACTTCTCTGGCTGCTGCTTCTGCTTCTGCAGTAGATAAACAATCTCTGTCTCTGATTCAAGGGAATCTCGTGTCTCTATCAGTGTGTGTGTGTTTGTACACTTGTGGCAGGCTAATTTGTTAGCTTCTAAAGAATGTAAAGTCTTAGATTCTTCAGTTCTAGCTTAGTAAAGAGGAGCAAAAAGAATTATTAAATAACATAATGGATAAAGTCTTTAAACTTGATTTCATAATAAACACAGAAATATTCTTCAAGGAAAACTTCTTATATCAACCATCTGTAAAAAGCTATGGGTCTAACAATGCAAGGAAAGAAACATCAATGCAAAACATTCATTTTGGAAATGTATTTCAATTGGAATTATACAGCTCAGCTACATTTCTTTCTGACAACCTAAAGATGCAGGAATACTTAGAGAATCCAGTAGTTAATAAACACAAAGCATTTTTTACTTTCTCAAACATCAGGTTATAAGGGAGCCTTTTGTAATTGCTATCTCAAGCAATGCATAGTTTAACTATCTGGTGATTTCTGGAAATGTTAAAAATCTTTGATTAAAGAGAGATTCCTATGTAGTGGATATTTTGTTGATTCTAGCCATCCATCATCTATTTGCTCATTTTTTCAAAATAGCCCAAATTTTGTCTGAGGATTCATCCTTCCCCCCATTCTCTGGTCATGTGGTCTGGATGGAGCTCCAACATCCACTGTAGGGAAAAAATAGGCAATCAAGTCCTAGGTCAATCAGTGCACCCAATTTCCCTGGTTTAGAGGTAAGCCCATCTCCAAGATTCAACCTCAGGGCTTGTCTAGGAATGCAGGGTCAAGGACTTTCATTCTTTGCTGCGGTAACTGAACCTGGAAGGATGGAGTCCTGGCAACAGCTGCAAATCACCTTGTATCCATGAAGGATAAAGCGGTCTGTAAGTGGAGTCAACACAGAGGAAGCAGAGCCAGGAGATGGGGGAAAAGAGAAAAACAGGACCCTGAAGGCATCATTTGAGCACCTCTATCCTGAAGCCTTATCAACTCCGGATTGCTCAACTGCATAAACTGATACATCTTTCTGGCTTAACTCCACTTGAGTGAGGGTTTTTCTCCCTTCAACGACAGAGTCAAAATGACATACTCTGGGGTTTAGGTACCAAACTTGCAGGATTCCAATATTTTGTAGCAAATGTTTAGAGTGCTTTGAAAAATGTCCAGATGGAAAAACCCACAGTTCCACACCATAAAGTTTAGAATAAAAGAAACTGGTCCTGAAAAAGTTTTAAGAGCTGCTGTCCTTAGCAAAAAATAACAAACAGACCCTTAGTACAACCATGTAACATGTAAATTGAAATATACTTGGATATTGATGGGACACTCAAAATGAGTTTATAGTTGAATGTACTAAAATATGTTAAATCAAACAAAGATTGTCTTGGAAAGATAGCAAGGTTATGGGGAAAAAGGACAAAACCATTTTTTATGGCTTGTTAAAGGATTCCTTTTAGGTTTGCAATAATTGATCATTTGTATGGTAATATTTAGGTTGAACCATTTGAAATTTACAGTTTCATAGAGTTCAGACAAAAAACAAAATAGGAAAAAAGTCCACATTACTTCCTCTTTCAAATTTACTTAAACCAGAATATATATACCATATTGAAAAAGGCCAAACCATTCATTTCTTTTCCAAACTATTCTCATTTTATACGCAGGACAACCAAATGTGCTAACTTTTTATTTTTCAGATCTTGCGATTTCAAAACAGCTTCTTAAAAAAGAGTGCATATGTCATGCAAATGTAGTATTCACTTACCTGCATGTTGTATAGGGGTTGCTTTGGTGCATTAACCTCCCTCAGCAAGCGATGCGATAGGTCCCTTAACTCTAAAAGTCTACAAGCAAGCTGAGGTTGCATAAGTTTGGCCACTGATTTGGAAGATCTGGATATGCTGTTTAATCCTTGAATTAATGTTCCTCGATTGATCTTCGCTAAAGCGACAGCCATTCTGATTTTGGATGGTTTTTGCATAGATTCTCTTTTCTGGAAGAAAAGCGTCTGAAAAGTGACTGATGTTCTCCAGTGAATTATTAAAATCTACTTCAGGCCGAGACCAAGTACCACATAACAGTATATTATGCATGGTCCTATGCATATACTCAGTGTCCAATAAGTACATCCCACCCCTATGTACCTAAATATTTGAATACGTGATTTTTGCCGTAGCATAAATATCCAGAATTTAAGTTACTAGCCAAAAGATTTAAAATTTTCATTTTTCAGGGGCGCCTGGGCAGCTCACTCAGTTAAGCGACTGACTTGGCTTAGGACATGATCTCATGGTTTCTGGGTTTGAAACCTGCATTAGGCTCTGTGCCAACAGCTCAGAGCCTGGAGCCTGCTTTATATTCTGTGTCTTCCTCTCTCTCTGCCCCTCCTTTGCTTGAGCTCTGTCTCTTGCACTCTCAAAAAATAAACACTAAAAAAAACTAAAAAAAATAAAATAAAATTTTCATTTTTCTCCTTGGGTGTATTTATTTTTGCATTGAGTTTTTTTAAACAGCTCTTTCAAAAGTAAACAGTTCTTATTCAAATATTATTCAGTGTTTGAATTATTCAAACTAATTCTTATTCAAAACTATTACAAATATTTCCCAGTTTACTTTAAAACATTAAGTGATAAAGCATACATACATAATGCATTGTGCAATATAAAAAATAAAATATCCTATATACTAATTAACAAGCTTAAGGAACTTTTACCTGTAAAAACTTAAAAACTTCTATGACCATTCTGATAGAAAAAAATTGTAGCATTAAGAAAACATATGACATGTACATCTTTCTCTGCTGTACCAGAAGGTGAGCCACAGAGAAATTACTTACAATGTGGTTAGACTGCATTCCAGGCAACAGGCAAGTATAGTTGCCATTAATCATTTAAGTAATTTTATGGGCTATTCTGGCTTTTTTGTATACGACTTAGAGGAAACTAATGGTTCATAACACAAACAAGCAACTTTGAATCTCTGCTTATTGAGTCCAAAAATATAAACACAAAATATCTTTTAGATGGAGGGTTTTTTTTTTTTTTTTTTGGTCTACAATGAGCAACATTTGTTGAAGAGCTAATGTACTATATATATACTTTAAATGCATCAGCTTTTATCCTGAAGAAATAATTTTATTATTGCTGATTTTGTCATTAAAGTTCAGTACTTCTTTTATTATTGAGAATTTGTTATTGGAAATAACCAAAAGCTGTTCTAGCCTATCAATGAGGATATATTTCTGCAGATCTGGTATCTTATTGTGGTTTAATCTGTTAACTTTACTGGGGCACCTGGGTGGCTCAGTCGGTTGGGCATCTGACTTTGGCTCGGGTCATGATTTCAAGGTTCATGGGTATGAGCCCCACATCAGGCTCTGTGCTGACAGGTTGGAGCCTGCTTCAGATTCTTTCTCCTTCTCTATCTGTCCCTAACTCATGCTCTCTTTCTCGCTCTCTCCCTAAAATAAACATTACAAAACTTTTTAAAAAATCTGTTAACTTTACTGAAAAAGTCCCATTAACCTACCTTTGGTCTCAACCCTCCTAGTCAATACTAACAGTTCAGAAGACAATCTAAGTTGTGGACTGCTAGAACTGCTGCAATTCCAAGTCAATTTAGGGTAGAGAAACCCTTAAAGGTAGTTATGTGGTGGGTAAAACAAGCAAAATCACACACAGGTGCAATCACGATATTATATCTGGGTTTCAAGCACACCAGGGGGAGAAACCACAATTATCTGCAATAGACAAAGCTCTTGCACATACAGATTCAATTTCTCTTGCGATCCTATGCTTTGCTTCACTGATTCTTCCTCCCAACTCCTCAAGTTGGAGAAGCTAGAATGTCTGGTTTTACTTCTGATTACAGTTTACCGTGCTTTTTCTCATCATTTATAACCATAAAGTGAGGGCCATATTGCCACGGCAAACAATAGTGGGACATGTGCAGTTCCACCGATACTGAAATTTCATCTAATAGTCATTCAGTGTATTAAGGACTCTATCTCTTACAGAGGCAAGACATTAACATTATGGAGCTTCCCTCTCTGTACTCTGTGTCTTTACAAAATCTTGGTGATCTGTACCTATTGGCCTGGATTCACTAACTTTACTCAGATATTTCTATTAACTAATCTTGATTCATTCCCCCAAACACTATACTAGATTGATCCATTCAACCTTTTCCTCTTTTGTAATACTATTTTTCTAAATATTTTCCTCTGTAGAGACACAAGTCTACTTGTAAATGATAATCCGCTAATCGAAACTCTCCTGTAGGATCATATAATTTGTGTTGACCAAAATACAGCATTTATGATAAACAGTTTTTTAAAAAATTCAAGTGTGCATTACAATAATGCTTTAGTGCCCTTTGCATATTTCTCTTTTCAGTATTGTCATAAATTCATAGCTTTTTCCAACGAACTCAACCAGTTCCTAATTAATATCATCTTTGTTTCCCCTTAAATGCTGAAATAGTTACAATTTGATGACTTTGCTTCCCTTCATGATTTTTAAATTGCTTTCCTTTTTCTAGACTTTCATAGTTACCTCTGAAAGAAATATTACCTCCAGCAACAAAATGTTTCTGACCCCTTTATTTTCCCTGACACAAAACATACAATCAACTTGTTCCCAAGAAGACCATTACTGCTTTTAGGAATAGTATTAGAAACCAAATCTGGGTACTGGGGTGCATACAAAGTGGGCTTTTATGGCTCTGAGAATAGGAAGGTAACAACAGAGGAGAGGCTACTTACAGTCCTTTAGACACAGAATAAGATCTTCCTCTGGAAAACAAAACAAAACAAAACAAAAACACTCATTGAGGCACCTGGGTGGCTCAGTTTGTTAAACACCTGACTCTTGATTTTGGCTCACGTCATGATCTCACAGCTCCTGAGACTGAGCCCTGCGTTCAGCTCTGTGCTGACAGAGAGAAGTCTGCTTGGGATTTTCTATCCCTCGTTCTCCTTTACCCCTTTCCCAGTCTCTATCTCTTTCAAAATAAATAAATAAACATTTAAAAAATACCAGTTTATGGTAATGATTCCAATTCATTCTTAAGTGAATTTTTATTTTTTTTTTTTAACATTTTTAACTCATTTTTGAGAGACAGAGACAGGGCACAAGTCGGGGAGGGGCACAGAGTGAGGGAGACACAGAATCTGAAGCAGGCTCCAGGCTCTGAGCTGTCAGCCAAGAGTGTGGCATGGAGCTCAAACCCACAAACCACAAGATCATGACCTGAGTCAAAGTCGGATGCTTAAGGGGCCGAGCCACCCAGGCGCCCCTTCAGTGAATTTTAAAAATAGGCTCTAGTAAAAAATTTTTAAATAAAAAGTTTTTGTCTTTTTTTGAGCTACCAGCTTTTCCTATGCTAGTATCTATGCTATGTGTTTTCCTACCAAACTGTATGTGTAAATTTGAATGTCGATCCCAAATTAAAAATTGCTCATTTCTTTTCCCTGGGCTGTTTTGTTTTGTTTTGTTTGACTCTTAGCCTAAGGATCCTGGAATTGGTTGCTAAGTGTGCAAGTTTAGATGATTCTTTTTGTCAGTATCATCACCTCAGTACATTACCAAATGTCCAAAAAGAAATACCAAGTCCCCTCACCACCACCACCAGGTAATGTTCATTTGCCGCTAGACACCTAGCATCAGTTAATCAGATTGTTTTGAAAGTCCTGCTCCAGATTTCACTATTTGAACTCCATTCTTTGAATATATCCTGCTTTCCCTTTTTCTTTTCTTTTTGTTTCCTAGAGCCATGCCCATTTCTCTAACATCAGCAGTTTTCATGCTGAACTTCAATTTCTATTACATCAGCTTTTTACTACTCTACATCCCAAAAACTAGCCTGTCAGCAAGTCTTATTCAATTCTTTCTCTGAATAGTCCTAGGATTTGACCACTTCTCACTGTGACCTGTGCCAACCCTCAGTCCATTCTATTTATACCATCTCTTCTCCAGACTAGTAAATGAGCCTCTTCAGTGGTCTTTCTGCTTCCCTCCTGGTCTATTTCCATTCTACTCCACACCTCAGCCAGAGAGATACTAGTAAAACTTAGATCCTATCTTGCTTTTCTGCCCAGCTGCTTCAGTGGCTTCCTAGTGCACTCAGTATAAAATTACAAACCCTACAAAGGTTGCTTTTCTTTACCTCTCTACCCTCATTGTTGTTTTCTCTCCTTTCCCCTTAGCTAGTTGTTGAGCTGGTTAGGTAATACTCCCACCTCAGGGACTTTGCATGAGCTATGCCATTTGATTCTTCAAAGGTACCAAGGTCTGCTCCCTCACTTCCCTCAAGTCTTAACTTAAGAATCACTTTCTCAGGGCACCTGGGTGGCTCAGGTGGTTGAGTGTCTAGCTGGCTCTGGATTTCTGGCCCAGGTCATGATCCTGGAGTCGTGGGATTGTCCCCTGAATCAGGCTCTGTGCTGAGTGTGGAGTATGCTTGAGATTCTCTCTGTCTCTTTCTGCACCTCTCCTCTGATCATGCGCTCGCTCTCTCTCTCTCTCTCTCTCCCTATCAAGTTAAAATACGAAATGAAAAAAAATTTTAAAAAAAGGAATCACTTTCTCACTATGACCCTCTTGGTCACCCTACCGTAACGGTCAGTTGTCCTCCCTGTTTCTACTCCCATTTCATATTTCTGCTCTATTTCTTCTCCTTCTTATACCTACCATTAACATAAATAAACTTGTTTCTTGTTTTTCTACCTGACTAGGATGTAAGTTTTATGACAGCACTGTTTTATATCTGTTTGGATCACAGACCTTTCCCTAGTACCTAGAATAGTGTCTGGAGCTAGTAGGGTGTTCTAAATATTTGTTGAAATGAAGAGTACCTGAGAATAGATTAATATAGAGGAGTAAATATACCAAATATTAAATTAGAAACCACCTTGACAGTGTTCAGTGTACAATATGCTCCATAACTTTCAGTTATGATAGTGCCACAACAACTCACCAAAGACAAAAATACAACTGAATCATAGAACACTTTAGTTACAGTCCTATTCTCATATTTAGAAATATTAATACCAACAAAAGTGATTTCCAAATGTTATTGGTGCAGCCCTAAGAGTTTTGTCCCATGTGTTAAAAACAAAGCCAAGCGGGGCGCCTGGGTGGCTTAGTCGGTTAAGCGTCCGACTTTCGCTTAGGTCATGATCTCGCGGTTCGTGGGTTCGAGCCCCACGTCGGGCTCTGTGCTGACTGCCAGCTCAGAGCCTGGAGCCTGTTTCAGTCTGTGACTCCCTCTCTCTCTGACCCTCCCCTGCTCACTCTTTCTCTCTCCTAGAAATAATAAATTAAAAAAAAAATTAAAGAAAAAAAAAGCCAAGAAAATTCAGAAAAGTACATCTACAGCTATAAAAATCCAAAATTTTACATGGATTCTAATATGTTCTGTTTACAACTCCCAATTTTATAAGGTTAAATGTAAAATAATTACAGAATAAAATACATGATCATCTTTAATAATTAAAACCATAAAAATTTACCCTATTTACCACCAAAGATTTCTCTCATTGAAGTAAAGATCATCGAACTAAAACTTTTTAGTTCCCTAATTGTAGAATACAGTTTCCATTTATTCAAATGTAAAAGTTTAATATGTTTAAATCCTCATGAAGAAATCATTTGCAAGTGTAAACCTTTAAAACCTACTTTTTGCTAAAGGAAGTGGATATTGAAGGTATAGGATCTGGGTTCGACTGCAGAATACATGATATCAGAAGCCATGACCTCAAGGCAAGACTCTAAAATTAACTTTCTTCAGCCTCAGGAAGAAAATTTCCTTCCAAATCATGAGTCATGAAGAACTATTTAATAACCATTATTCTGGTTATGTCCCTCTATACAAATCCCACCAAACGTTTTGTTTGTTTCAGGCCAACAAGATGGACTTTTCCTAAATAAATACATACATGTGTAAATTTTTTAAAAAGGGAGATTTAGATACTAATCATGAGATTTAGAAACTCAATTTAAATTTAATCATGAACTAACCTCAATTAACTAACTCCCCTTAAGTATTCTTTTTTTTTTTTTAATATTTTTATTTATTTCTAGGAGAGAGAGAGAGAGAGAGATAGCGTGAGCAGGGGAGGGTCAGAGAGAGAGGGAGATACAGACTCCGAAATAGGCTCCAGGCTCTGAGCTGCCAGTCAGCACAGAGCCCGACGCGGGGCTCAAACCCACGAACCGCGAGATCATGACCTAAGTGAAAGTCGGACACTTAACCGACTAAGCCACTCACGCGCCCCCTCCCCTTAAGTATTCTTAAAACCACTTCTTTCAGCATACTTGGGAACGATGGATCATCCCCCAAATAATAAAATTTGCAGCATTTACAATCTGACCTTTTAAAAAATAATTTAGTTGGGGCACCTGGGTGGCTCAGTTGGTTAAGCGTCGTACTTCGGCTGAGGTCATGATCATAGGTTCGTGGGTTCAAGCCCCGCGTCAGGCTCTATGCTGACAGCTAGCTCAGAGCCTGGAGCCTGTTTCAGTCTGTGACTCCCTCTCTCTCTGACCCTCCCCTGCTCATGCTGTCTCTCTCTCTCTTTCTCTCTCTCAGAAATAAATAAAACATTTTTTAAAAATTTAAAAATAAATAAGTAAAAATAATTTAGTTATCCAAGCATTAGCATTGTGTTCTGAATAATTTATTTTCAAAGCACAAGTAACTTCAATCTATGTAGTATCTCCCAAGAACCTGGGTTTCTTGCCAATCTCAGCAACACATTCTTTAAAGTAAATGGTGGAAAAAGTACAATGTAAGTGTTCTGAAAACGAGAAATAGAGTCAACTATTTTTATATGCTTCTCTAAATGAGATAAGTTCTCATAAATAAATGACTTCAGTGAGTTGGAAATAGGAACTCAGAGTTCTTTCTTTGGGATCAGAGTATTAATCTATTTCACTATTAAATGAAATTTATAGTTCAAGTGATAATGAGGCTAGTTGGAGGGTAGGAAGAGATGAAGGGAGCTGTGAAGAAAGTTGCAACTTTTTTCATTAGTAAACCTAGTTTCTTTAATGTTGGCAGTGGTGAGAGAATCACAACTTGGAAGCAGCAACAGGCATTTCCAGGCCAGTCTCTGGCTTCCTACGATTCACTTTGAGGCTTTCTTAGGAATTACTGCCACAACTGTGCTAGCCTTAACCATTTTATGTCCTAGACCAAGCATGGTCACCTGCCCATTTCTTCCCATAATACTCCAGAGCATACTCAAGAAAAATGTCCAGCATTTGAAATGATTTTATACTGAAACTAGAGGACTGTAAAAAGGGTAAGCAACTAGACACCAAGTCTAAGACTGATTTATAAAGTCTGGTTTGCTACTGATTTATAAAGTCTGTTTTGCTGTCTGGCGGACCAGCATCTGGATACCATCTTTCCACTATGTATCCAGATACCTACACTTCACTATCAGCCCTCCTCAAAGTCTAGACCCAAAACCCATACCATTGGTTCATTTTACTTGATATTCTGGGAACATGCTATGCTTTCATACTTTTTGTCTTAAGTGACACTGCTTCCTCTGTCCCTATCCACTTACCCTATCACTTTTTTTCAATGTGAAAATTCATAATCATTCTCTGAGACCCACTTTGAGCATCCTTATTCCATAAACCTTTTCTGACCATTCAGAGTGGTAGAGTCCTGCATTCCTCTAAGATAAATTTACCTCTTAACCATATTCCAAACACAATTACTTGTTTACAATTCTGACTCCACTAGATTAAGCTCATTGACTGAAAGAATCCTGTTTTATCTCTGTATTCCCTGTGTCCGGTCCCAGCCAATAGCAAAGTATTTAATAAATGTCTGATGCCTGGCTGTCTGGATGAATGGTCCTAAGATCTTTCCTTTGGAATGAAATATATAGACTTTGTGATTACTGTTACTCAGAGAGTTTTTTTGGTTTATTTCCAGGTTTTGGCTATGATGTTGGATACTGTCCAAAGTCTGATATCTGGATAAGGAGATTATTACTGTACCATGTAACTTTACAACATATTCTACTCTAACTGTGGTCTAGATGGCTAAAATACATTTATCCATTAAGAGCTGTGTACCTTTAAGTAAACTAGGTTACAAGATATTTACTTTTTTTCCTGATCAGAGGTCTTTTCAAAATTCTCAACCCATCCATTCTCCAAATCCCAATATTTTATCTATCAAAACTCCTTTTGGGAACAGAGGTTATACAAAACATATGCACATATGGTTTGTTTAAACTGATACCACGATTTCCTTTCCACATTAAAACATACACCCATACTGTATTTATCTTTCCATTACTATAATTCGTATCACTTTTTTCACTGACTTAATAGCCATAGATTTTAGTTAAAATATACCCAGGTATATTTCTGATTTTATATTAAGCAAATCTTTTTTTTTTTTTTTAAATATTTTTTTAAATTTATTTCGAGGAGAGAGAGAGACAGCGTGAGCAGGGGAGGGTCAGAGAGAGGGAAACACAGACTCTGAAACAGGCTCCAGGCTCTGAGCCGGCAGTCAGCACAGAGCCTGACGCGGGGCTCAAACCCATGAACCGCGAGATCATGACCCAAACGAAAGTCGGACGCTCAACCGACTAAGCCACCCAGGCGCCCCTATATTAAGCAAATCTTAAGCAAATGTAGCAAACTACATACGTTACAATTGTGGCTATAAGAAGGTTCCAGATTTCCAGTCTGAAGATAGATATCTATCTCACTTCCTTGTCCACCATTTCTCTTCTTTCCACAGACCCACGCAATAAGATCTGAAATTTGTTTTTCTGAGGCAAAATTAATTTTTTTCTAAGCTACAGGTACTGATCTCAAAGTCAAGCATTAAATAATTGGTATGATCTTAAAAATTCAATATACTTTTTGCAATCCTTTTCAAAGTTATGAAATCACATTACCTGATTAGACTGTGATAATCTTAGGATGGTAGGGAATTCATCTTTAAACTCGTCTAGGAGGTCCATGATTACTTTCTGGATCCCCTCAACTAAGACAAAAAGAGGTTAGGGGGGGAAAACAGCAGCTTAACTGAAAACATTCCCTATTCAAAATTCAATTCATTCAATCTAAAAGAACATGGGACACTGGGTCCACTTTGTAAGTAACTGGGAAAGCAAATAAACCCTAGGGGGAGTTTATTCCCGGTTGTTTCCAACACCCATATCCCCTTTACAACGAGACTGCATATACTTCTTCCAGAAAAGTTCTTCAACACCTGTCCACATATCCACCCAACAGGTTTGATCGGCATGATGAGCTCTTGCGTGGGTTCCTAGTGCTTGGCAAGCTTGCAGGCCATGGCTGCACTTGTCCTACCCCGTCACTCATGAGGGACGAGGGCAGCCTTCCACTCGGGAAAGCAGGCAAGGACAGAACCTACGGCTGATTGCCAGAATTCTTTGTTACTGCACAATGGGCCTCTGAGAACTTGTTACGGAATCTTCTGAAATCACACTGGCACTGAGAAGAGGAAGAGTATGTTTGAAGGCAGAGGAGGAGGAGAAGGGAGAATGAAAAATAAGCTGTACTAAGGAGTTCTGCATTATATGTTGAATTTTGACCCAATTTCTATAGTGGTATCTCAGTTAATAGATCATCTGAGAACAAAGCTCCCTTTGAAAAGAGTTGGCGTATGCTTTGAAAAAAATGTTTCACATACGATGCCAAGTGGAAAAGAAACACCAGCAGTTAATTCAGAAATACTTCTGGGGGCGCCTGGGTGGCTTAGTCGGTTAAGCGTCCGACTTTCGCTTAGGTCATGATCTCGCGGTTCGTGGGTTCGAGCCCCGCGTCAGGCTATGTGCTGACTGCCAGCTCAGAGCCTGGAGCCTGTTTCAGTCTGTGGCTCCCTCTCTCTCTGACCCTCCCCTGTTCACGCTGTCTCTCTCTCTCTCCTAGAAATAAATAAAAATATTTAAAAAAAAAAAAATACTTCTGAACAGGTTGTTTTCTCTTCACTCAAAGGTCGCTAGGTCAAAGACACGCAAAATTATAAAATCTATCATTTGTCTTCTTTAAAATGTCAAGCTTTTTTTCTTCGTCATCATCTTTTTCCTTCCTTCTCCTCTCCCACTTCATTTTTTCCCTATTTATCAAGTCTAGGAAGAATTTCATGTCATGTGGACTTGAGTACCTAGTTAATATTTTAGTAGGGATGAATTCAGACTTGATTAACACAAATCCCATTTTAATTTTTTTTTCATGTTTATTTCATTTTGAGAGAGAGAGAGAGAGCAAGCAGGAGAAGGGTAGCGAGACAGGGAGACAGAGAATCCCAAGCAGGCTCTGCACTGTCAGCACAAAGCCCAATGCGGGGCTCAAATCCACCAACCTTGAGATGATGACCTGACCCAAAGTCGGTTGCTCAACCAACTGAGCCACCCAGGTGCCACAAATCCCATTTTAATTTGAAGCCTTTATATTTAATTGTAGCTAGATCATTATCCTCGGCAAGCATAAAGCTGTGGGTGCTAGGGTCTGCTCACAGGAACTGTCTAGGAAAGACAAATGTTCATCAGAGGATTCTTCTCTCACGTGAAGCCTGCCAGACTCCCACTTTCACTTGGTCCTTAGTCCTCATCTGAGAACACTCTTCAAGGCACCCAACCACTTCTCTTAACCTTGCCAGAACATGTTTCCCTCCATCATGACCCTAATGTTGAAAATAATTATGCCACTCATATTTGAAAACTGCAATCCACTGCCAGAAAGAAAATCTTATTAGATGACGCACACACAAACTGGAGGTCTGTAAGATAATGTAAACGTGTATTTATCCTATGTAGCTATATGCTGATCAGAATTTACCCCAGGGAACAGCTGGCAGTATCTTCGCTCTCTGGTCTTTTCCCCTGTTCTCTCCATTCTCCTTGGTCCCCTAATTTCTTTTCATCCATCTGCCCACCTCTTGATGTCCTAGCTTCCAATTAGTTTCATCCAGTTTTTGTTTTCTCTTTGTAATGGCTCCCACCTTCCTTGGCAGCCTATGAAATCTGGAATTAACAAATCTACAAGAAAAGCAGTTCTCATGCTAAAAGGCATAACCAGTCTCTATGTGTTATATTAACAAAGTTCTTCTTGTCTTTGCTTTCTACTGAGTCTCTCCTTGGAAGAGGAATGATGAAAAAAAGACAGAGGGTAATGAGATTTAAGAAAATCCCACCTGGCCACACTTATTTATATTTGTGACCATATATGATAATGTTTTGGGTTTTGCTTAATTATCACTATTACCTATATCTTTATGTATCATGTTATTTCAGGTAATAATGTTAGACAAAATAAATAATGGTTATATTCTTTAACTAATATATTCTTTTTTACAGCTCACAATAGAGTGCTTTGTACTTACAAAAATTAATTAGGAAACAGTTACAAATACCTCCAAATAATATTTGTGTCAGCCTTGTAAAATTACTTGTATTTAGAAGGCTTTAATACATGAAAAAAAAGAATCTTTGATTTGTACAAAGCTTAGAAGAAAATGAACATTTTACACACTAAGTGAAGGCAGTATCTGCTTAATTAAGAATGAAGAATTTTGGGGTTCAGTCAGACCCAGATTTGAATTTCAACTCCATCACCTACATGCTGGGCTGTATAACCTTGGGCAAATTATGTTTTCTAAACCCAAATTTTATCTTTAAAAAGGTGACAGTAATTATTTGATGGACCAGTTATGTTCAACAAATGGCAGCTATTGTCAAATACACAACAGCTATTTTGCTTTTGGAAGGTTTGCAAAATTTGGGTGAAAGTCACCCACTGAGTTTGCCTTGTTCACATGGGTTTCAGCCTGTTTTCATTTCTCACGCAACTGGCTAGAACCTTCCTAAGTGGATTCTTCCCTCAAACCTACATTGAACCCAAATGATACGGATCTACATGCCTGATTTCAAGTATTAGCTATCAAGTCTCTCGAATGACTTCCTTCAGAACCATCCATGGCCCAGTCAGGGGAGATTTGAACTGGAAGCCACCTCCTTTTGGTGCCAGCCTCACAGATGGATGAGTTCTGTTGGTCCCAGTGCTATATTCTTCTAGCTCACGGCATGCTTTGAGACTATGTACATCTCGGACTATGTATTAAATGCTTAATAATGTCAAAATCATTTTAAAAATCATTATCTGAAGGAAGGGTACTGACACATACTGAGGGCCAAATTAGTAACTGTTGTTAAAGAATAAACTGAAGGACATTAAAAATTTTAAGAGTTTATTTGAACAAAAATCTATTCGCATCAGGTATCACCAGAGGTGATTAGGGGCTCTCCACAGACAGTAGCTAGGGCCACCACTTTCATAGGGAAGATGTGGAAACAAAGCAAGGAACTTACTTGACTATGTATAGCTTAAGGACCTGCATTATTTTGGAAAGCCTCTTGGCTGTTTGTGACAGGTTGCCCTTAGATTTAAATTCCATAATCTTGAGGCATTTACAGGTTTAGGGATCGGAGCCACCTCAATCTAACAGGCCTCCTTGCTTAATTAATTTAACGCTGTGCTAAGAGCTATGTTACACCACTTATCTCTTAATTCTCATAACAAGTGTCAGAGGTAGGAATGTTCTGAAGACAATCTGACAATATCAAACAGTACTAATATATTGATATTACCAATACCACTGCCATCATGGGAATATATCCCAATTTTTAAAAATTCTCAATAATAATTTGTATAAAAATAGATAATGCAAGGCTATTTAGGATGGCATAAATTGGAAGTAGTTCAAATACAGGTTTCCTCTGCTATCAGCAAGAAGAGCTTTCCTATTCTATCAAACATTTTATAAGCTGAAATGAAATAAAGCAAAGAAGCAATTGTCACTAATATATATGTAAAGTTTTTTGAGTGTTTTCAGACCGAAAATTAACCTCTCTTTGGCTTTTCTGATATCCTAGGATATGTCTTGCTAAAGGATACACAAAATCAACTGAAGTAAAGCACAGACGCCCACACACATGGTCCAAAGCTATTATGGCTGCTTGATACCGAGTATGGTTCTGGGGAAGGAGACCGGTGGGTCACTGCTGCTGCTCAGGTGTGTGCGGCCTCCATAATGGCTCACTGCAACACACACACTGCACGCTAGTTTCATTTTTCTCTCTGTTACATAAAAGTAAAAATCTTTTTTGGATTTCTTCTAGATAGTAAAATGGGTAGTACTGTCAGGCCTTTTATAAAAGTACAGTGGACATAACACCAACTTTTGAAAAGTAGGGGAAACCTGTACATAGCCTTCTTCAAATGATTATTATCCCAAGACTATGGAAAAGCTGCTGTTCGTTGAATTTGTAAAATGTGGAGACTTTAAAAATCTAACTATGTACATAAACTACATTTATCAGAAAGTATGGAAAACAATTTAGTTTATAATCACCCAAAGCTATACACAGGCTTAAAAAGGAAAATACTAATAAAAAGATGTTTATTGCATTCTTTATGCCTAAAAAATTGTATGTCATGGCAAACAAAGCAGATAAATTTTAAAAAGTCCTACAGAAAAACTGTTTCCATATGATTATTCACTCATGTCTAATTATCAAGTTTATGTCATGAAGTATGATTGAAAGTATGATAGTATATCACTTTGTTCAGAGGCTAGTGAAAATTTTTATATCAATAAATTTAGTGTGTAGGAGAGGTCTCCACATCCACTGTTAAAGGCTCTAAGAGGTCCTGATGTTGGAGAACTGATGGGGCAGATTGATAAAAGCCTTTGTATATACACAAGACTACAGGATCCTTCTGGGAGAGAACGCAGATTTAAGTACAATGGCCAGCTCTGGCAAAGCCAGTCTAGTAAGAGTTCCTTAATTAATTACTTGTCAGTGATTCTGAGCACAGGCTGGTGTATGTCACTCAGATCTACCTTGATCTCAAATCAAGTAGGGATTCACAGTAGGTGGAAGGAAAGAGAAGCCATAAACACTCTTATTAAGCTTTCTTAAGGCAGTGAGCACAAATTAGCTATACAATTAGGATACCCCCCCACCCCCCAAACACAGAAAATAAAAGAAAAAAGGGAAATGAGGCATTTTCAGGACTTTGCCAAAGATCTTTGCTCTTTGAAAGTGTCATCGCATTAGTAATGGAGTGCACTGTGAGGATGCAGTGTCCAGAAGAGCCAAAACTGAAACAGTGCCTGAAGGAGACATAGTAGTATCCATAGAAGTAGTCACAAGTGCCAAGCAGATGCTACCTGCAAGGCAGCTGACCAGATCTGTTCTTAATAATTAGACACTTCAGGAATTCCCAAAAATACTTGGAGGGAAGGGAAAAGATTCAAGCCTTTGTACAGATCTGAAGTTCTGCAGGTGGAGCGAAGCCACTGAAGTATAGGTTATTTTTATTCCTGTGATCGTA